ACCTACTTGCTTGCTAGGTGAACGGGGACAGTAGGTGTTTCCACCCGTGCCGGGGACTAAACCACGGACACTGAGTGTGTGAGGCCAGAGCGTTGCCTACCTGGCCACGGAACACAACTTACACAGACCTAGTTAACATCAGTCACACACTACAAGAGGACCCCGCTCATACAGCAGGTTAGGTTCCGGGTCATCGCTGTAAAGTAAAAACCGCTGTAAACTGAAATATTTTTTTTTGTTCACTTTCAAATGCATATAAAAGCCTGATAATAGGTTTACTCTGTCATATATTAACAGACGAGCTAGGCCTAAAACAATGCATATACGGTAAACACATTACTTAAAATATTTTCGTCCTTAGCTTATAGTGAGTGGTGTATATATTTATGTATTTATTGTATAAAGTCTGCATAAATGAAGAATGGGTTTAGTTGAAAACCGCTGCATTAATGAAACGCTGTATAGTGAAGTGCTGTAAAGCGGGACATTCCTGTATATAGAGATCCCCTGGTTATGCAGAGCAATTTCGGGCAACTTAGGTTAATTTTGTCCCCCAGGATGCGACCCACACCAGTTGGCTAACACCCAGGTACCTAGGGAGGTTCGGAGCTAATGTGGAAGATTCACGCGCAGATAAAGCATGAATCATGACCAGGTACCTACTTACTGCTAGGTGAACAGGAACAGCAGGTGTCTTACAGGAAACACACCCAAATGTTTTCCGGCTGTGTTAATTGTGCAGGGCTAAAGATAACTCACCCCCGTATGCTACGTCGGAGACCCTGTCGTTGTGGACCATCTTGGCGAAGACCGGAGGTCTGGGAGAGCGGTTGGTGCCGCTACAGCTCTCCGTGTCGTAACTAGCGTCGTCTACGGAGGAGCTGGTGGGTCTATCCGGAGTGGACGAAGCCGCCTGCGGCTGCTGCCCACCCACCCTGAGGAACAGTACGGGGGTACTGGTTAGTCTAGTGACGAAAGTTAAGACACTTGTGCAACATCTGGTTATCTTTATTGTAGACGTTTCGCCATCCAGTGGCTTTATCAATAAAGATTCGTGGATATAATTAGAAAACAGAAGAACTATATACAAAAGATGAGGTAATCAGTCCCTCAGCCTTGGAGGTGGTGTTTACAGCACCGTGGTTGTAGATTCTGAAGCACAACAGAACAGAACAGAGGACTCACAGGTAAGGACCCACTAGGGGCGAGGGGCGAGGGGCAAGTGGAGACAGCTCGAAGAATAGTCGGTGAGAGGAATGTCTTGAGTCGAAGAGAGAAGAGTCAGGACTAGACCCAACAGCTAAGCCTTGGAACCAGACGGAAACAGCAACACAAAAAACAGGAGAACACTTAGTCGTCCGGCTGGCAAGCTATCTGCATCTTGCATTCTTGATGTTGAAGAATTGAGACACTTATGCAACACATGGGAATCTTTATTGAAGAAACGTTTCGCCACACAGTGGCTTCATCAGTCCAATACAAAGTAGAAATGGGTAAGGAGAGTAGAAGTATGAGGTAATCAGTCCCTCAACCTGGATTCGATGTGTTCAGTCCATCACTCTTGTAGTAAGTGCAGCATAGGGCCAGAGAGGTGGCTTATATACTGCGGTGAGATGAGTTGAAGCAGGAGGAGGCGGGATCTTAGTGGGACCTGCCACTAATGTAAGTAGGTCATCGTCCAAAGGTTTGGGCAAGCGTTGAAGTCTTTGTACCAAGATTCCATGATGTTGCAGTGTCTGACAGATGTGATGAATGGTTTTGAAAACCGACAAGTTGAAGAATTTAGACACTTATGCAACACATGGGAATCTTTATTGAAGAAACGTTTCGCCACACAGTGGCTTCATCAGTTCAATACAAAGTAGAAATGGGTAAGGAGAGTAGAAGTATGAGGTAATCAGTCCCTCAACCTGGATTCGATGTGTTCAGTCCATCACTCTTGTAGTAAGTGCAGCATAGGGCCAGAGAGGTGGCTTATATACTGCGGTGAGATGAGTTGAAGCAGGAGGAGGCGGGATCTTAGTGGGACCTGCCACTAATGTAAGTAGGTCATCGTCCAAAGGTTTGGGCAAGCGTTGAAGTCTTTGTACCAAGATTCCATGATGTTGCAGTGTCTGACAGATGTGATGAATGGTTTTGAAAACCGACAAGTTGAAGAATTGAGACACTTATGCAACACATGGGAATCTTTATTGAAGAAACGTTTCGCCACACAGTGGCTTCATCAGTCCAATACAAAGTAGAAATGGGTAAGGAGAGTAGAAGTATGAGGTAATCAGTCCCTCAACCTGGATTCGATGTGTTCAGTCCATCACTCTTGTAGTAAGTGCAGCATAGGGCCAGAAGGTGGCTTATATACTGCGGTGAGATGAGTTGAGCAGGAGGAGGCGGGATCTTAGTGGGACTGCCACTAATGTAAGTAGGTCATCGTCCAAAGGTTTGGGCAAGCGTTGAAGTCTTTGTACCAAGATTCCATGATGTTGCAGTGTCTGACAGATGTGATGAATGGTTTTGAAAACCGACAAGTTGAAGAATTGAGACACTTATGCAACACATGGGAATCTTTATTGAAGAAACGTTTCGCCACACAGTGGCTTCATCAGTTCAATACAAAGTAGAAATGGGTAAGGAGAGTAGAAGTATGAGGTAATCAGTCCCTCAACCTGGATTCGATGTGTTCAGTCCATCACTCTTGTAGTAAGTGCAGCATAGGGCCAGAGAGGTGGCTTATATACTGCGGTGAGATGAGTTGAAGCAGGGGGAGGCGGGATCTTAGTGGGACCTGCCACTAATGTAAGTAGGTCATCGTCCAAAGGTTTGGGCAAGCGTTGAAGTCTTTGTACCAAGATTCCATGATGTTGCAGTGTCTGACAGATGTGATGAATGGTTTTGAAACCGACAAGTTGAAGAATTGAGACACTTATGCAACACATGGGAATCTTTATTGAAGAAACGTTTCGCCACACAGTGGCTTCATCAGTCCAATACAAAGTAGAAATGGGTAAGGAGAGTAGAAGTATGAGGTAATCAGTCCCTCAACCTGGATTCGATGTGTTCAGTCCATCACTCTTGTAGTAAGTGCAGCATAGGGCCAGAGAGGTGGCTTATATACTGCGGTGAGATGAGTTGAAGCAGGAGGAGGCGGGATCTTAGTGGGACCTGCCACTAATGTAAGTAGGTCATCGTCCAAAGGTTTGGGCAAGCGTTGAAGTCTTTGTACCAAGATTCCATGATGTTGCAGTGTCTGACAGATGTGATGAATGGTTTTGAAAACCGACAAGTTGAAGAATTGAGACACTTATGCAACACATGGGAATCTTATTTGAAGAAACGTTTCGCCACACAGTGGCTTCATCAGTTCAATACAAAGTAGAAATGGGTAAGGAGAGTAGAAGTATGAGGTAATCAGTCCCTCAACCTGGATTCGATGTGTTCAGTCCATCACTCTTGTAGTAAGTGCAGCATAGGGCCAGAGAGGTGGCTTATATACTGCGGTGAGATGAGTTGAAGCAGGAGGAGGCGGGATCTTAGTGGACCTGCCACTAATGTAAGTAGGTCATCGTCCAAAGGTTTGGGCAAGCGTTGAAGTCTTTGTACCAAGATTCCATGATGTTGCAGTGTCTGACAGATGTGATGAATGGTTTTGAAAACCGACAAGTTGAAGAATTGAGACACTTATGCAACACATGGGAATCTTTATTGAAGAAACGTTTCGCCACACAGTGGCTTCATCAGTCCAATACAAAGTAGAAATGGGTAAGGAGAGTAGAAGTATGAGGTAATCAGTCCCTCAACCTGGATTCGATGTGTTCAGTCCATCACTCTTGTAGTAAGTGCAGCATAGGGCCAGAGAGGTGGCTTATATACTGCGGTGAGATGAGTTGAAGCAGGAGGAGGCGGGATCTTAGTGGACCTGCCACTAATGTAAGTAGGTCATCGTCCAAAGGTTTGGGCAAGCGTTGAAGTCTTTGTACCAAGATTCCATGATGTTGCAGTGTCTGACAGATGTGATGAATGGTTTTGAAAACCGACAAGTTGAAGAATTGAGACACTTATGCAACACATGGGAATCTTTATTGAAGAAACGTTTCGCCACAACAGTGGCTTCATCAGTCCAATACAAAGTAGAAATGGGTAAGGAGAGTAGAAGTATGAGGTAATCAGTCCCTCAACCTGGATTCGATGTGTTCAGTCCATCACTCTTGTAGTAAGTGCAGCATAGGGCCAGAGAGGTGGCTTATATACTGCGGTGAGATGAGTTGAAGCAGGAGGAGGCGGGATCTTAGTGGGACCTGCCACTAATGTAAGTAGGTCATCGTCCAAAGGTTTGGGCAAGCGTTGAAGTCTTTGTACCAAGATTCCATGATGTTGCAGTGTCTGACAGATGTGATGAATGGTTTTGAAACCGACAAGTTGAAGAATTGAGACACTTATGCAACACATGGAATCTTTATTGAAGAAACGTTTCGCCACACAGTGGCTTCATCAGTCCAATACAAAGTAGAAATGGGTAAGGAGAGTAGAAGTATGAGGTAATCAGTCCCTCAACCTGGATTCGATGTGTTCAGTCCATCACTCTTGTAGTAAGTGCAGCATAGGGCCAGAGAGGTGGCTTATATACTGCGGTGAGATGAGTTGAAGCAGGAGGAGGCGGGATCTTAGTGGGACCTGCCACTAATGTAAGTAGGTCATCGTCCAAAGGTTTGGGCAAGCGTTGAAGTCTTTGTACCAAGATTCCATGATGTTGCAGTGTCTGACAGATGTGATGAATGGTTTTGAAAACCGACAAGTTGAAGAATTGAGACACTTATGCAACACATGGGAATCTTTATTGAAGAAACGTTTCGCCACACAGTGGCTTCATCAGTCCAATACAAAGTAGAAATGGGTAAGGAGAGTAGAAGTATGAGGTAATCAGTCCCTCAACCTGGATTCGATGTGTTCAGTCCATCACTCTTGTAGTAAACGTTTCTTCAATAAAGATTCCCATGTGTTCCATAAGTGTCTCAATTCTTCAACTTGTCGGTTTTCAAAACCATTCATCACATCTGTCAGACACTGCAACATCATGGAATCTTGGTACAAAGACTTCAACGCTTGCCCAAACCTTTGGACGATGACCTACTTACATTAGTGGCAGGTCCCACTAAGATCCCGCCTCCTCCTGCTTCAACTCATCTCACCGCAGTATATAAGCCACCTCTCTGGCCCTATGCTGCACTTACTACAAGAGTGATGGACTGAACACATCGAATCCAGGTTGAGGGACTGATTACCTCATACTTCTACTCTCCTTACCCATTTCTACTTTGTATTGGACTGATGAAGCCACTGTGTGGCGAAACGTTTCTTCAATAAAGATTCCCATGTGTTGCATAAGTGTCTCAATTCTTCAACTTGTCGGTTTTCAAAACCATTCATCACATCTGTCAGACACTGCAACATCATGGAATCTTGGTACAAAGACTTCAACGCTTGCCCAAACCTTTGGACGATGACCTACTTACATTAGTGGCAGGTCCCACTAAGATCCCGCCTCCTCCTGCTTCAACTCATCTCACCGCAGTATATAAGCCACCTCTCTGGCCCTATGCTGCACTTACTACAAGAGTGATGGACTGAACACATCGAATCCAGGTTGAGGGACTGATTACCTCATACTTCTACTCTCCTTACCCATTTCTACTTTGTATTGGACTGATGAAGCCACTGTGTGGCGAAACGTTTCTTCAATAAAGATTCCCATGTGTTGCATAAGTGTCTCAATTCTTCAACTTGTCGGTTTTCAAAACCATTCATCACATCTGTCAGACACTGCAACATCATGGAATCTTGGTACAAAGACTTCAACGCTTGCCCAAACCTTTGGACGATGACCTACTTACATTTGTGGCAGGTCCCACTAAGATCCCGCCTCCTCCTGCTTCAACTCATCTCACCGCAGTATATAAGCCACCTCTCTGGGCCCCATGCTGCACTTACTACAAGAGTGATGGACTGAACACATCGAATCCAGGTTGAGGGACTGATTACCTCATACTTCTACTCTCCTTACCCATTTCTACTTTGTATTGGACTGATGAAGCCACTGTGTGGCGAAACGTTTCTTCAATAAAGATTCCCATGTGTTGCATAAGTGTCTCAATTCTTCAACTTGTCGGTTTTCAAAACCATTCATCACATCTGTCAGACACTGCAACATCATGGAATCTTGGTACAAAGACTTCAACGCTTGCCCAAACCTTTGGACGATGACCTACTTACATTAGTGGCAGGTCCCACTAAGATCCCGCCTCCTCCTGCTTCAACTCATCTCACCGCAGTATATAAGCCACCTCTCTGGCCCTATGCTGCACTTACTACAAGAGTGATGGACTGAACACATCGAATCCAGGTTGAGGGACTGATTACCTCATACTTCTACTCTCCTTACCCATTTCTACTTTGTATTGGACTGATGAAGCCACTGTGTGGCGAAACGTTTCTTCAATAAAGATTCCCATGTGTTGCATAAGTGTCTCAATTCCTCAACTTGTCGGTTTTCAAAACCATTCATCACATTCTTGATGTTGATTGGCGGCTGGCAGAAGATGGAGGCGTGGTCAAGGGAGGCTAGCTTCTTGATTGGTCAGGTGTCGTTAAAGTGTGGGTCAGGAGTTACTTCATTTCTTCAGTGTTGGAGGCATTCCTTATGTTGTGCAGTTGTTGGAAGGAAACGATGAGTAGTCTTGTAATCTTGGGTCGAAATGCTGGGTCGGCTTGTAACTGGTCAAAGGTCATCTTGAGTTCTGTGAAGGAGCAATGGGTTCCTTTACGATTTGTTAACTTGACTGTTCTGTAGGCTAATTTCTCGTACAAAGTGTCGACATTCATGGTGGGTTCTTGATCAGGAGTCGTATAAAAAGTTATATCTTTCCAGTGCAGGAATTGATCTCGGTGTTGGTCTTCTGTATTAATACGTCGAGTGATGACTGGTGAGGTTTTTATTGGTGGTTGCAGCATTGAAAGTTCATTCAATGTTGGTGTCTCCGCTACAGAGTGTATAAAAGACTGTGGTGGAATTGTGGCTTCTGATTGGTCCATTTTTGTAGTGGTGAGTGGAGGCGAAAGAATGATATTTGCGCCGCCACGACGAGCCAATCGACGAATAGGAGGCGTGGTGCTGTCTTGGACGTTATCAGGTGAACGTTGATTGGAGGATTCAAAAGAGGATGCGTCGTCGTTATCAATTATTAATTCCTTCAAATCATCTGGCGCTTCAAAACTGACGATCTTCGGGATTATTTTCAAAATCTCAGCTGATGGTGGACTTGCAGGGAAGTTAAATGATGGCATGTTGTTAAGTGCAAGAAGTTCATTAATAGTCGTGTTGAAAGAGCCAGGTTTTGCAGCATTTTGCATGTGAGCAAACATCATGCAGTAATATTATTATTATTATTATTATTATCAAAAAAAATAAAAAAAATAATGCAGTAATAGAATTTGGTAGAGATATCATCAGGTGGAGGTTGGGTAGTGAGAGGTGGTGGAGACGACTGTTGAGTGGCTTGTAGAATCTTGGATGTTGTTGATTGAATCTTTGCAATTGCAGCGTATGTAGGAGAGGTTCCAGATGACTTCTTTGTTTCTTCCTTCAGTTTCTTAGAGAGGATATCCTTACGCACTGGACATTTGGCTGCAAGAGTATGGTGATCACTCTTACAGTTGATGCAAGTGGGAGCAGCAGTAGAAGTGCAAGATCGAAAATCGTGACCTGCAGACCCACAGGTGGAACATATCTTCTTATTCTTCACGTGGCAGTCGGCAGTAGAGTGACTGTACGAGTAACATGTCCAGCAAGGTGTTATGTACGTGAAGCGTTCAGGTTCAATCTGTCGAGGGTTGATATAGTAGTAAGAGATGGCCAGGCCATCAGACAGTGCTCTGGTTGCCATCGTAACGTCTAGAAACGTGACACTGAGCATCGAGGAAGCGTTGGGGATCTTAACAAAAGAGTCAATCTTGGCCCAGGTGTTGAGGTCTTCAAGTGATGTCGTAATTTCCTCGATGGACATGTTCGTGATTAGCCTGTCAAGACGTTTCATGAACACTGAACGTTTTGCAAGCATGTATGGTGGCGTGGAGATGGTAAAGCCTCGGTCTTCTAAGGTCTTCATGGCAGTAGGTGTAAGCACTTTGTCAGCATCAGCATCATCGAGAAAAGTGACGATGAAAGCTCCTTTCAGTGACGTAATCTTGGAGAGCTTTCCGTGAAGACAAGTGTTGAGAGAAGCTGCAAGCTCAAGCTTCGTGGCGTCATCGACGACAGCAAACTTGGGCTTAATCCTCACACGATGTGATATCGTGGAGATGGTAGAGATTCCGCTCCCCAACGGGGATCGTAGGGATACTGTGCAAGTAAGGAGAGCTGCTATGACCTGCCGAGGCGAGAGTCAGAAGCAGAGTATCCTCCCTGAAGCACAGGCAAGGAGACTGGCGCTTATATAGGCGTCAGTGAATAGGGACGGATAGCAGACGAGGGCATAGTCACTGGTAGGCGGGATTCCCCAGTGGAAGTAGGTCCTACTCAAATTGATGGGTTAGTTGTAGTAGCCGTGAAGAAGATCATGTAGATGTCCTCTGAACCAAGATTCCAAGATGTTGCAGTGCCTGACAAGTTGTGCAAGACAGGTATACAATACCGACAAGATGAAAGTTAAGACACTTGTTGCACAAGTGTCTTAACTTTCATCTTGTCGGTATTGTATACCTGTCTTGCACAACTTCTCTAGTGACCGCATACTAGGTACGACAATGACAGCAGCCAGGAGGAGTGATCCAAGAACCTGCCATCCACTGGCTGGGACCTCCATCAACAGAAAGTTGTGAGAAGATAGTCTCTAGTGTGAAGTGCAAGATGTTAAAGAGACTGGAGGTGCAGGTGTGGGGTACGAAATATGGGGAGGTTGGAGGGTGAAGAACAGGTGCGTGGGAAGAACAGATGCCAGGGAAGAACAGATGCCAGGGAAGAACAGATGCCAGGGAAGAACAGATGCCAGGGAAAGATGGGTGCCAGGGAAGAACAGGTGCCATGGAAGGACAGGTGCCATGGAAGGACAGGTGCCAGGGAAGAACAGATGCCAGAGAAGAACAGATGCCAGAGAAGGTGCAGATTAAAGATTTGATTAATAATTCCCCCAAAATGCTGACGTATGTCTACAAGATTCCTTGTAATAATGTAATAAAAGTTATTATTGTCAAAGTTTGAAAAGTCTTGAACTAAGATTACAACAACATAAATATAACACTGGAAGTGGACAAGATTCTAATGCTCTGGTTATTCATGTGAGAGATTTTAACCATTCAACTGATTTTCAAAAAGCCGAAAAAGTATCGAGCAGGTTTATGGTTGAGAGAAATACAACTGAATAACAAACAATTAAAATTTCAATATTAATGTTGGTTTAGGTTTATAAAAATTAGATTCATTTAAAATTAATAAAATCTGGGAAGAATTTAAGCTATGTTTGACAAGTCCTCGACTATTTCACCCGTATCATCGTAAAGGAACGGACGAGGTGTCGGACGTCGACCGTGAGGTGTTACCCTAGCCTTATAAGTCTATATCGCAAACTAAGCGATACAGGATACAAAACAACCACGGGGGGAGTAGAATGATAGATCTAGGCCTTTCGTGTTGCAATCAACATATCATCAGGAGCTTGCAACTAGGCTTTTCGTATTAATTGCAACACGAAAGGCCTAGAGCTATCATTCTTCTCCCCTCTGAATTTTGTGTGTGTCCAGTACCAGACATAACTTACTTGTCATCCATGTCATAGCTGAGGAAGAGATAAACAGGTTATAATTGACTGTTTAACAGAGACTCATAAATAAACAGTTACACTATAAATTATTAGTTATAATTATAAATATACAGTACCTTTCACAATGCATATCGCAGTCAACAGGAGTCGAACCTACTACAGGGAGACTGACAGACCAGGTAAACCAGGCTGCCCAGCTTTTGAGGCATTTGTGGCCGAGTTGATAAGAGCGTCACTTTGGGAGCCTTGCCAGTTTCCTCCTAGTGGGTTCGACTCCTGCTGACTGCGACCTTTATCTGTATATACCCGTTTGCTTCTGTGTGGTGGACTGATTTATATATATATATATATATATATATATATATATATAATATATATATATATATATATATATATATATATATATATATATATATATATATATATATATATATATATGTCGTGCCGAATAGGCAGAACTTGCGATCTTGGCTTAAATAGCAACGCTCATCTTGCCATATAGGACAAGTGAAAATTTGTGTATGCAATAATTTCGCCAAAATCATTCTGAACCTAACGAAAAATATATATTTCATTGTGATGTTTAGTATTAAATTATTGTAAACAAATCTAAAATATATTTAGTTGGGTTAGGCTAAAATAAATTGCGCTTGTTATAATAAGGTTAGGTAAGTTTTCTAAGTTCCTTTTGATGCAAATTTATAAATTTTTACATCAACATTAATGAAAAAAAATATATCTTTAAACGTATAAGACAAAATTTTAGAAAGGACTTAATTTTAAATGAGTTCTTGCTAATTGACCAGTTTCACATATTCAGCACGACATATATATGTATATATAAAATGTCTAAGGACAATTCATCCCAGGCTTCACTAGTCTAGGGACTGATAATGTTAATGTCAGGTTTATCGGCAGTCTACGGACTCGAGATGCCAGGTTTCACTACAGTCTAATTAGCAGAGAGGTTTGTCAATAAACTGTTTCTATTACTTTCCAACAATTCGTTTTAGACAAACTTTAAATTAACGTTTCATTGTAATTAATGTGTGATAGAAGGCCAGGTACAACGCAACTGTCTACAGACGTTGCTACAGTATGCGCCTGCCCGTGGTGCTACCTCCACTAACATCTGACTTGTTAAGAATGAGGAAAATAACAAGGTTGTTGAATATTATGTTCGACACCATTATTGCTAGCCTCAGTAATTAACTTGATTGAAATATCAGCAAAATGTGAGGTTGCAGAAGCCACACATTAAGTTACGTTAATAATATTCAGTTTATGAGAACAAACGTTTTAACATGGAAGTTGTTATGAAGAGTAACGCTAGCGAAACCTTCTTTGATGGTGACTGTGTGTGTGTGTGTGTGTGTGTGTGTGTGTGTGTGTGTGTGTGTGTGTGTGTGTGTGTGTGTGCGTGTGTGTGTGTGTGTGTGTGTGTGCGTGTGTGTGTGTGAGAGAGAGAGAGAGAGAGAGAGTTATTACCGATTTTCTGGCAGCGGTAAAATCTAAGCTCCTGGCCCCACCTTCCAGACATCCCTGTCAGAAATAAAATTCCCTTTCCTCTCGAAGCCTATCAACCCTACTCTTGAAGCTGTGTATAGAGTTTGTCTTCACCACTTTCTCGTCAAGTTTATTTTCTGTCAGCCATAAGCTAAAGAACCACTTCTGGAACTTCCAGTGGTTCACCTTTATCATTAACTTCTACTGTTCTTCCTAGTTCCCATTCCCCGCGTCTCAGCAAGCTCTTATCGTACGTCCATCAATGCCTTTGCTATCATGCATGTTATAAACTGGTCTCCCATTATGTTCCTCTCATTTCCTTTCAAATTACTAAGTTCCAGTTACATATGAGTCTTCCAGTAGTTAAACCCTCTTATCTCTGAGAATGTTGTGATTCCAAATCGTTGAAAATTCTCGACCTTCTGCACAACGAGCTTGAAATACGGTAGCAGCACAAAACCTCCTACAACATGGTGTATTATAGAATATCTCTCAAAGCATGCATTTATGGTGTGGCTTTAAAATGTATTAGGATCTTCGTGTGGTAGTACCTTCATGAAGGTATGAGTGGTATTACCTTCATGAATGTGTGGTTGAACCTACAAGCTGACAGATTTGCAGCCCATCCTGTTTGACGGAGTGAGGCAGGGAAAACACAGCTGCCTTCTAATCTCACAACTTAAATTTCACATCCACCTTCCCTCTCACACTATCCCCCGTCCATCTCCCTCTCACATTACCCCCCTTGTTCACCGCCGCTCTCACACTATCCCACTCATCTTTACTCTCCGCCCTCTCTTATGACACTCCACATCCTAGAGAACCCTTACTCCGTTTTCCATCTCCCTTCCCCTAGCTCTACTGTCATATCTCCTCACTATCTCTCCCTCTATAAGCCTCTGTTAATATCTCTACGCATTTCTTCTGCACTTCAAAATATATCGAAGAATTACCCAGGGAAGTGTCTAAGTATCTTAAGACAACAACAAGAGAGTTAGTTCCTTGAGGGTTATTCTTGACCCAGTCCCCTTCACAACATAAATAATCTTGAATCGAGAAGAACATACGTGCGCATGTGTGTGTGTGTGTGTATGTATGTATGTGTGTATGCATGTATATGTGTGCAATAAGATCACAGTAAACAGGTGATTTCAGAATATGCAAAACAACCACTCTGAAAGAATAGAGAAATTCCAAGCGCTTTCGTGACTACTCACATTATCAAGGAACTATGATAATTGAGTAGTCACGAAAGCGCTTGGAATTTCTCTATTCTTTCAGAGTGGTTGTTTTGCATGTATATGTGTATATGTATATGTATATATATATATATATATTATATATATATATATATATTATATATATATATATATATATATATATTTATATATATATATATATATATATATATATATATATATATATATATACATTCTTTCAACAAACGGGGCCGTTTCCCACCGAGGCAGGGTGGCCCAAAAAAGAAAAAGAAAAGTTTCTCTTTTGAAATTTAGTAATCTATACAGGAGAAGGGGTTACTAGTCTTTTGCTCCCGGCATTTTAGTCGACTCTCACAACACGCCGCATATGTGTATGTATACATATATTAACACATCGGCCGTTTCCCACCGAGGCAGGGTGACCCAAAAAGGAAGAAAACCCCAAAAAGAAAGAAAAAAAAACTTTCATCATCGTTCAACACTTTTCACCATCATTCATACATAATCACTATCTTTGCAATATTCACAGATGACACAAAATTGAAAGAAAACCGTAGCGTCCATTATTAATTGTGTATTGAGAAAGAGCAGGAGGATAGACTGATACAGAGGTCGGAGACCTGGAAAGTGAGTTTCAATGTTGACAAGTGCAAAGTAACGTACTGTGGATGTAAGTCAAGGAAGTAAGATAAGTTACTTACTCCTCACTCTTGACGGAGACATTGTCCTTCATCGACTGTGAGGAGGAACAGCTGCTGCCCATTGTTCACACTCCCGGGGCTCCTCTACCTCCAACAACCTTCTCTTTTCTACCTCCTCGCGCTAATTAATCTCTTCTCGCGTTCCTCTTCACAATAATTTTCTTCTGTAATTTTTTTGGGGGGTTGGCCAGCTTCTTAACCCCACACTTTCTTTTTTAATCCTTTTTGTATCAGCGATTTTAGGGGTACTCGTGAAGCCTTAGTCGTTGCTTAGTGGGTGTTGTATATTTGCTTCTGTGATCGCGCTAGTTGCTGGTTCTATGTGCGTGTTAGTCGCTGTTCCTGTGAGTGTGCTAATCGTTGTAACCTGCTCTCTGGTGGGGTAAACGCTGGCTCAGCTTACTCGAGGTAATTTCGTGATTTTCAAGAGACCAGAGACCCCACTGATGATATCCCGAGTTTGTGATTCACGGTTCCAAGTGAACCCGATAAATGGTCAGTGGAGGCTTCGATTCCACGGTAATCTGCTTGTTGGAGTTTATAGGGCCATTGACAGCTTACGCCGTATCGAGCTTCCACAGCAGGACGGAAGAACTCATGCCAGACTTGGCCGGCCTCTCGCCACACACCTGTACTCTACAAGAAGGCCCACCAACATTTCCCTCGCCGCCGATGCTTTAATTGCAGCTGGAAGACCTTCGCTTAATTTAATCATAGACTTTACGAAGCTCTGCATAAATATAAAACGAAACAGGAAGACTTTAACTCTGTAAATTCTAATATTCAAGCGTCCGATATTTGCCCATCGAAAAGTTATCCTCAAAATGGATACTTGCGTGAGACTGACATTTTCTTTGCTTTTAAAGGAAAACTACGTTTTCTTTTTTACGTTTTCGAGCATTCATGAATATTACTTTGGCACTTAGATTTTTGTAATACTGATATAAATACTGACAGAACAGATGGTAATACTGACGTTGTACATCCCACACTGTATTCAGAGCTGCACTCTCCTTTAAGGCATGTATGATCACCGCACGCGGAGTACATGAAGGTCCGAGTGAAGATAATCGTCACAGTCTGCCGACCCACACAATTTCGCCACTTCAGCGCTGTATAGCCGACCAACACACTCTGGTCACTCTTCTCTGCTCTGCTTAGCCGACCAATACAACTTAGCCACTTTCCTAATTATTATTATAATCAGACGGAAGCGCTAAACCTGCCAGGGTCATACAGCGCCACTTTCCTAAGCGCTGCGTAGCCGCTCAGGCATCATTCACTGAAAGTTATGCCCTGAGGAACAACTCTAGTTACCATTCACTAATCTGTTCGGTGCACCTTCCTCTGTAATTCTTCTACAATTTAGTCTTATGTGTGTATCCTTCCCTGGTGCCTCCTCCACTATTATGGCTCATGAGTTACACTAATCGTATGCTATCGTCTGTCAAATATAATAAGTCTGATTACACTGTAATGAGGGAGCAGTTGGTTGCGGTTGGTAAGAGGCCTGGAGATGAGGAGGAATCACCTTTCGTGCAGTCAGTAACAGTCGTTCCTTCAAGAGCGACAGTCCGATGTTACCCAAAGGTAGAATCACTTGACGCTCTTCTAGTCTTCTCTTGTGGCTATATTCGGTGCGATGTAGCGTGATGCTGCTGCGCCTCCTGATAGCCTCGTGGGGGACGACCCAGCTGCTCGTTCCCTGAAGTCTGAGCATTCAGTCACTCCAGCTGTTCCCAACCGTGTGTTCAACGCTTACTGTTCCGCACCAGTATGTTTCATGTGATGGCTGTTAGCCAGCGTGGTGTGGTTCAGGACCTCGTGAGTGTAGATGTGGAGGTAGGTGGAACACAAGTAGTGTTGCGTGTGTAGTGAGCAAGTTACTGATGTGAGGTACGTGCAGTTGAGTATGTTTAGTGTTACTGAGAATGCCTCACCAGGAACTCTGCGTTGCCTCTTAATTTACATGTGTGGCAGTCGTGTTGTGTGTTCGTTGACAGTAAATGCAGACAGAGTAGTTAGATGCAGTATGGGGTAGAAAACATGATTGGTAAAGTGATCTTGCTATGTGTTATGGATGGTGGGTTGAATGTTAATCTTGTCTGGGTAATATTGAAAGCAAGATTATTTTGTGTAACGAGAAGTGACTGTAGCACTGTGTACGAGCGAGTGTTTTGCAACAAGTAACAGTGCTACGAAGTGTAAGTGGCGGTGGTGTTGAGATGTACCTATTGAACGAGCAACAGTGCGTAGACCTTCATAAGTTATCAGTGAAGTGTTGTGGTGCTAGACGTCAGTTATCAGCGATGTGTCGTGGTACTAGACGTCAGTTATCAGTGATGTGCCGTGGTGCTAGAAGTCAGTTATCAATGATGTATCGTGGTCCTAGACGTCAGTTAGATCATGTTAAAAGACATAGTTAAGTAGTTTATATTATAGTCAAGTGTCGGAGCAGCAGAAATTAAATAGGGTTATGTTGCTGTGATAAAATACCTCGTAGTTATGGTAATGATCGAAAGCTTGTTTGTATTGGCCACTGATGGGCCTCGGTGCCATGAACAATACGAAAGTGACTAAACTGATTATGTGGATTACTGTAAAGCTATAATTTACAATAGCTGATCTATAATGCGTGTATTCTGTATTATGAATGGTTTCGTCTGAGGACCTGCCTTGCATGGGCCAGTAGGCCTATTACAGCGCTCCTCTGTTCTGTTTGGGATTGATGGTGGATAAGGATGCTTGTGAAGACAATGGGAAGAAAGGTGACGGATAGCACTGGGGTGACTGATAAATGTTATCCACACTGACTGGTTTATCTCTGCTCACTGAACTTAGTACGTGAGAGGTGAATTGGATCTTCGGGACGCCCGCAGTAGCCTCTTAGACCTGGGGAGAAGTACACTTCCTCACACTCTCCTTAACTTCCTTGTTGCGTTTCTCATGACAAATACCCGAGTCTGTAAGCTGGTGTGTTTAAAGTTGTAAGATGCAACTGTGGATGAATAACACGCAGTGTTTAATATAATACTATAACAAAGATTTCTAGGATGGCGGATCGGTTTCTAAAAGAGTGAGGTCGTGGGGACGCTGTGTGGTACTGAACTTTAACTGTTCCTGATAGACGGAAGGTTAGAGTAGGTGTCACAGAGTTCTACTTTACAAGTTATAGTATTCTGTAGTGAGATGATGCAGTGGAGCATCCTACTATGTTGTTGACAGGTTAGAGTTGACTCAGTGTCCAGGATGAAGGAATTGATGGTGAGGTTAGATTTCAATGCAGCAGCAACAGGGTAATAGTTTGAGACGGTGGTGTTTTGAAGCAAACTAGCGAGGAAATGTGGTTTGTTGAGTTAAGGTTGTTGATGGGGTAGTTTGTGTAGAGGTCCTCAGGAAATCAAGCCTTCCCACAGTAAGGCTGAGCACACTACGGTAGTTGACAGCTGGACTTGGGTTATTCCACTTGTTGGCGCAGGGCACAAAACTTAAGACTCGACACACCTGTCAGGATAGTGTGGCTGACTGATTGGCAAGCAGGTATGCAGGCTGCCTGGTAGGCAGGTATTCAAGCTGATATAAACAGGCAGGTATGCAGGCCGGCTAGCAGGCAGGTCTTCAGGCTGGCTGGCTGGCTGGCTGGCTGGCTGGCTTCCTGGCTGACTGACTGACTGACTGACTGACTGACTGACTGACTGACTGACTGACAGGTGCTGTGGGCCCGGCGTGAGAAGAGACACAGGTGAGAAGGCGAGAGTGCAGCTGGGTGATCTAGGCTGGCTGAGTAGTGTGGCAGAGAGACGTGATGGTGTGGTAGGCCGGTGTGGTGAGGTGGGAGGTGGCTGGTCGCCTCATAAGTCACCACGTCGCTGCTATTGCATCTCCCACTTGTTCAACACCTGTCAAGAAAAGACTTCATTGTAATCGCACATAGTTAACTGCTTTCACTCGCACACAGTAACAACGTAAATAATGAGTTGGTGTTAATATTACAGAGAAATTCTGGCAAACGTAAATTTTGAATTGGGGAAATATTTCGCTTGTAAAAGCCTAGCTTAGCCTAGCTTATTTCAGTAGCCAAAACCTAATGTTTTTCCGGGCATGTTAAAAGCAGCTACCATTCTAAATTATTCCTCAGTATTTGATATAATCAACGGTTGTCAATTACCTGTAACTGACTGGATCAGAACCAGGTGCCACATTCTTCCCACATTAGAGAGTAGATCCAGTACCTCTGAACCAAGAGCAGTTCACCAGTCCCAGCAATCTAAGAAAAAAATCATCCTAAACTGCTCATAATTACTAAGTCAACTAGGCTACAGATAAAACACAACTCGTACAAAAAAAATCGGTGTTTGAGAGTACCCATTTTAGAACAAAATTCTCACATTATTATTATTATAATCAAGGGGGAAGCGCTAAACCCGGAGGATTATACAGCGCCTGGGGGGGGGGATGTGGAAGGCATTCAGGCTTAATTCGGGGAACTGGAGCACAGATCCAATTCCCTAAATCAAGAGCCCCCTCACCAACATCAAGGAACCTTCCTTGAGGGGTACAAAATTCTCACAGGTTTGCATCAATCTTATCATCCTGCATGTGCTGCTCTGAGATAGTTATGGTTATCCTTATTGTGTGTGTGTGTGTGTGTGTGTGTGTGTGTGTGTGTGTAGTGTGTGTGTGTTGTGTGTGTGTAGGTATGTGTAAGGTATGTGTAGGTATATGTAAATGTGCGTGGTATGTATGTGTACATATGTATATACGGATACGTATGTACCGGTATATTATATGAATGTATATGTGTATATATATATATATATATATATATATATATATATATATATATATATATATATATATATATATATATATATATATATATATATATATATATCAATAACAACACTAAAAAATACTTACCCTCATATACTTTGCTAATGCTGTATAAATGTATGTGGTACCATTAGCAAATTGTACCTTACATGTGTGCGGACAATGCAGTGTGTATTATGACTATATGCATGTTTGTATATAATTATATTTGTGTATTCGTGTGACTATGTATATGTGCCTTTATATATATATATATATGTGTGTGTGTGTGTGTGTGTGTATGTCGGCTCTCTTGCATTGTATGCAGCTATGTGAATTAACATGGTGTGTAGTTTAGTTTAAGAAATTAGCAATGCGACGCAACGTCTGTTAAATTACTGCTCAGTAACGCAGCTCAGACCCGCTTGACTATTATCTTGGGTCAGCTTACAGTTAGTGAGTGTTGCTTAGTACAAGTAATGTAGTTTGTTGCTTAGTACAAGTGAGGTAGTTTGTTGTTTAGTACAAGTGATGTAGTTTGTTGCTTAGTACAAGTAATGTAGTTTGTTGCTTAGTACAAGTGAGGTAGTTTGTTGTTTAGTACAAGTGATGTAGTTTGTTGCTTAGTACAAGTGAAGTAGTTTGTTGCTTAGTACAAGTGAGGTAGTTTGTTGTTTAGTACAAGTGATGTAGTTTGTTGCTTAGTACAAGTGAGGTAGTTTGTTGTTTAGTACAAGTGATGTAGTTTGTTGCTTAGTACAAGTGAGGTAGTTTGTTGCTTAGTACAAGTGAAGTAGTTTGTTGCTTAGTACAAGTGAGGTAGTTTGTTGTTTAGTACAAGTGATGTAGTTTGTTGCTTAGTACAAGTGAGGTAGTTTGTTGTTTAGTACAAGTGAAGTAGTTTGTTGTTTAGTACAAGTGAGGTAGTTTGTTGTTTAGTACAAGTGAAGTAGTTTGTTGCTTAGTACAGGTGATGTAGTTTGTTGTTTAGTACAAGTGAAGTAGTTTGTTGTTTAGTTCAAGTGATGTAGTTTGTTGTTTAGTACAAGTGATGTAGTTTGTTGTTTAGTACAAGTGATGTAGTTTGTTGCTTAGTACAAGTGAGGTAGTTTGTTGTTTAGTACAAGTGATGTAGTTTGTTGTTTAGTACAAGTGATGTAGTTTGTTGCTTAGTACAAGAGAGGTAGTTTGTTGTTTAGTACAAGTGAAGTAGTTTGTTGTTTAGTACAAGTGAAGTAGTTTGTTGTTTAGTACAAGTGAAGTAGTTTGTTGTTTAGTACAAGTGATGTAGTTTGTTGTTTAGTACAAGTGAAGTAGTTTGTTGTTTAGTACAAGTGAAGTAGTTTGTTGCTTAGTACAAGTGAAGTAGTTTGTTGTTTAGTACAAGTGAAGTAGTTTGTTGTTTAGTACAAGTGATGTAGTTTGTTGTTTAGTACAAGTGATGTAGTTTGTTGTTTAGTACAAGTGAAGTAGTTTGTTGTTTAGTACAAGTGAAGTAGTTTGTTGCTTAGTACAAGTGAAGTAGTTTGTTGTTTAGTACAAGTGAAGTAGTTTGTTGTTTAGTACAAGTGATGTAGTTTGTTGCTTAGTACAAGTGAAGTAGTTTGTTGTTTAGTACAAGTGAAGTAGTTTGTTGCTTAGTACAAGTGAAGTAGTTTGTTGTTTAGTACAAGTGAAGTAGTTTGTTGTTTAGTACAAGTGAAGTAGTTTGTTGTTTAGTACAAGTGATGTAGTTTGTTGTTTAGTACAAGTGATGTAGTTTGTTGTTTAGTACAAGTGAAGTAGTTTGTTTGTTTAGTACAAGTGAAGTAGTTTGTTGTTTAGTACAAGTGAAGTAGTTTGTTGTTTAGTACAAGTGAAGTAGTTTGTTGTTTAGTACAAGTGAAGTAGTTTGTTGTTTAGTACAAGTGATGTAGTTTGTTTTTTTAGTACAAGTGATGTAGTTTGTTGTTTAGTACAAGTGAAGTAGTTTTTTTGTTTAGTACAAGTGATGTAGTTTGTTGTTTAGTACAAGTGATGTAGTTTGTTGCTTAATAAAAGTGAAGTAGTTTGTTGTTTAGTACAAGTGACGTAAAGTTTGTTTTACGATGTCCAGCCTGATAGTCTCCAATCTGTTGCAATTATGTATTCTTGTGCATGTAATGTAAATTTTAAAACCTCAAGAGGTTATTGCAACAACGAATCTGCCTTGTCTGTAAGTATGTGTTCATTTTTATATATGTAAAAAAGTCCAGATATCTCCTACCATCCTTCTTTATCTCATCACTCATGTACGTATTATTTTTTTTTTGTTGTTGTTGTTGCCTCGCTGTGTGATGATGGAGGTTTTCATAGATATTCCATTTCTCTTGTGTATGGGATGGTCTCTCCTGAGAGACGGTAATTCCCAAGTGATAGTAACTGCAGCTCTGCTGGAAGTAAACCTTGGAAGCTGCCAAAGCAGATGAACGTTTAATGGAATACTTGACGATAACCTTGAGTTACCGAGGTCTGCCAGCTCAGGCTGACACATTTCACCACTATGCATGTGACGCATCCTGCGTGCTTTTGTTCTATTATATAGACTAGGGTAGCAGCACCCTGCTAATGTCTCCGTTACCCTCACCTTCATTCTTGTACCTTCAACTTCCCTACAACATACTGATATGTACTGCATCCCCTGGCACAACTTGAAGCTCACACTGAGGAAACACGTTGCCAGCTAACTTTTTGTACAAGCTCTCTCACTTTACCCTCTTAGGCATTAAAAGTCATGTCTGATTTAAAATGTAATCCTCACCTAGTTGATACTCCCCAGGGTGACTCGGAAAAAAAAATATTAAGAATTCTCCTCAAGTTTATGAGATATATCACTTCTTTATTACCTCGACTCTAGAGAAGTTTCATCCGCACATTATCTAGACTAGAGCACTGTTCTCACACCCGGGGAGCCTCTGTTCATGTGAAGAGAAGCTCTACTCTTATCTAGAGCACTGTTCTCACACCCGGGGAGCCTCTGTTCATGTGAAGAGAAGCTCTACTCTTATCTAGAGCACTGTTTTCACACCCGGGGAGCCTCTGTTCATGTGAAGAGAAGCTCTACTCTTATCTAGAGCACTGTTTCTCACACCCGGGAGCCTCTGTTCATGTGAAGAGAAGCTCTTACTCTTATCTAGAGCACTGTTTTCACACCCGGGGAGCCTCTGTTCATGTGAAGAGAAGCTCTACTCTTATCTAGAGCACTGTTTTTCACACCCTGGGAGCCTCTGTTCATGTGAAGAGAAGCTCTACTCTTATCTAGAGCACTGTTTTTCACACCCGGGAGCCTCTGTTCATGTGAAGAAAGCTCTACTCTTATCTAGAGCACTGTTTTCCAACTCGAGGAGCCTCTGTTCATGTGAAGAGAAGCTCTAACTCTTATCTAAGCACTGTTTCCACACCCGGAGCCTCTGTTCATGTGAAGAGAAGCTCTACTCTTATCTAGAGCACTGTTTTCACACTCGAGAGCTCTGTCATGTGAAGAGGAAGCTCTACTTTATCTAGAGCACTGTTTTCACACCCGGGGAGCCTCTGTTCATGTGAAGAGAAGCTCTACTCTTATCTAGAGCACTGTTCTTCACACTCGAGGAGCCTCTGTTCATGTGAAGAGAAGCTCTACTCTTATCTAGAGCACTGTTTTCACACCCGGGGAGCCTCTTCATTTGAAGAGAAGCTCTACTCTTATGTAGAGCACTGTTCTCACACCTTGGGAACATGCAAAGACGCTCTACCTAACCATACCCCGGCCGGGATTGAACCCGCGGTCAGAGAGTCTCAAAACTCCAGCCCGTCGCGTTAGCCACTAGACCAGCTAGCCACAATAAGATTCATCCAACTAGGTATATTTCTACACCATAGGAAAGTTAGCACAGGCACCTCTGTGACCACAAATGCAAGTTTTTACAGACGAATCTCCAGCTAGCGTGGCCGTGACGAACTCTAGCTCAAGTCCCCTCACTGCCGTCAACATGACTCTCTGACCGCGGGTTCAATCCCGGCCGGGGTATGGTTTGTTTGCAATCGTGTCATTACGATTTCGTGAGTCATGCTCTACCTTTGTCTAGACTCTTCTTACATCTAAGAGCGCTGGTGAGGGGCTCTTGATCTAGGGAATTGGATCTGTGCTCCAGTTCCCTGAAATGAGCCTGAATGCCTCCCATACCCCCCACATGTGCTGTATAATCTTGTGGGTTTAGCGCTCCCCATGATTATAATAATAATAATATATCTAAGAGAAACAGTTCTTCTCTCACATCTAGAAAAGCTCTGCTCTTGTCTAAAGTGCTCCTATGACATTCAAGAAAGCTCTAATCTTGTCCAGAGGGCTGCCCTGACTTTTTAGAAAGCTCTGTCTTTGTCTAGAGGGTTGCTCTGACATTTAAGAACGCGCTATCCTTGTCTAGAGTGCTGCTCTGACATTCAAGAAAGTTCTACCCT